TGCCTGTAGGTTTCCAGATCAGAGACCTACAGCATGATGTTTGCAGTCTGGAAGAAACAACTGCAGCTGCTGAACTGAACACTTTAAGCCGTAAAAAGTAGAAAACACTCTGACTAAAGCCTCAGGTCACTTGCAAGCTTTTCTGCACAACCAAAATATGTTATTGCACTGCTAACCTATTCAAAACTGCCAGCAAATGAGTTAGTAAGAAAAACAATAAATGTTATAAGAGCTGGCAACTTCGAGCCTTTGAAACGGGGCTGATAAACGCAGCAAGACTTTTGAGTGCCTCAGAGAAAAGGTACTATAAAATTACAATTACTACTTTGTCTCATTTACAGTAGGTACCCAAGGCAGTCCTGAGACTTAAAAACTTACAGGCCAGAACTTCAAGAAAATAAGTTACTGGGCAGGCAATGAATGTAGAACCAGACTAAACGAAGTAACAATGGGACAGTATACACTACTGTTTCTTCTTTACCTGAAAACTCTCATGAAATGCGTGTAAATAGGACACTAAATGTTTTCAAGATGGACACGTGTTCACTAGGAGGATAAATCTGTCTATAAAAAGCATTTGTCACGCTGAACTCCACTGTCTTTTAGATAAATTTCAGTACCAAATACCATTTCCTCTCTTTAAACCCAGATCCTCCTTCTTCCTCCGACCCACTGGCTGGATGACCCTTCTGCACCAAATACCATGCTCAAGTATAAAAGCTGCACAACATACAGAATACAAGCCAACCTTCAGAGCATGTTCTAGATATATTCAAGGACAGCGTGTTTATTTATCTGCAGAAGGTAAAACACTGCTATGTAGTCGTGCCTTGTTTTCTATTGGGTATAAACTATTATATAAACATTGGAGTATTTGAATAATTAAGACCTTAAGGCTTCAGAAACACACCAGTTACCTATTTTGAGTGTACGTTCACAAGCAGGCATGTGAACTAATTATTTTAGATGCTCAAGGATGTACCATCTCTTTTAGGGCTATGGATTAGTTGCCTAGGTACTGCTACCACAAGAAAGTCGTGAACACCCTACACCACTCCAGTGATAAAACTCTGAATAACCAAATTCTTGCATAATAGAGAAACAAGAGCTATATCAACATAGAATTCCTTGTTTTTATAAGACAAATGGCCCTCTAACAATATCTGATGGAAGGTTTTCCCATCAGACTTTGAGTTCTGATTAAGTTACCCAAATTAAGTTAAGTTACTGATTAAGTGTAATACCTTGCCGTTACTCACTCTGAGTGGCATCTCAAAGATTTCAGCAATGCTGAGATTTTCGGCAACTTCAGGAGGAATGTTTTCTACCAGATCGTATCCCAATGCACCTAGCACCAGATGACACTGAGTTTTCACTCCTGATGACTCCTATCTTCACTTCTTTCAGTAGAAGCCAATATGCAGACTTTCATTTTATTGCACTTGTTTTCAGAATCTGCAGATTATAGAGCTGAGAACTTGCAAACTGTTATCCTCAAAAAACATTGCCTGATGTTTTGTGTACACCCACGTGATGCATCACCAATAATGACAGGATGGATTAAGTTTTTTTTTAGTGTAAAGAAAGGTCTTCTTGAAGTTCATTTTGTGTGCTTGGAGTCACTTTGTACTGTATGACAGGTTCTTGAAAGACCAAGTCTATGCTAACATAACACAGAAAACTTAGGAAACTGCCACTGAAAGAAATCAAAAATGGGCAGGGGATTAAATAAGTCATCTTAATTTTTTTTAAACCCTTAACTTGAATTATGGAACAAGCTGTGCTTCTTATTTTGAATAAATAGGAAAAAGGGGGGAAGGAAAGGAAGCAAAAGAGTCAGGAAAAAAAAAAACAACCTTCATTAAAAATACAAAAAAAAAAAAAAAAAGAATAATGTTGCAAAAGACAAACTACAAAGGCTAAATAGCTGCTCTCCCAAAACATAATCCAGCCTAAGTTTTTAATCACATGCCACATGAACTGAACTGAACTTCTTGGCTTAAGCTTCAGTGGCCTGGCTCTGCAGTGGATTCTTTTGCATTAGGTATTTTGCAAGTGATATTCTATACAAAGAAATTTCCAACGAAAGAGCATGGCAATGGCAACTCAAAAACAAAAAAGGAATGAGATGGGAAGGTAAGAACTGTCCCATTTTAAGAAGCCAAAGCAGGTTACACTGCTTTGCTTCAATGTATGCCATTGCATTATGTTACAAATGCACACCAAAGTACATTCCTGATCACTTCTCCGTATTGTTTGTGCAGTAACACTTAATTACAAAATGAAAACCTTAAGTCTGTAAACTGCTCCTCAATGTATTTTTTACTTTTATTCCTACATTTCCAAATGCCATATAAAGCTGGCCACCGTAGTGGAAATAGTACTTAAAAGCACACCCCAGGCTGATATAGCAGTAAGCGTTTTTCCCCTGGAAAAATAGTCAGTGGCCATTAGTTAAAGTCCCTGTCATTGTTTTTAAAAAAAAGCTGAGGTCAGAGCAACAGGAACAGTGCTCAATCTGTACAGCTCATTTCTTAGGTTATATGGAAACAATTTTAACTAATCTATCATTAACTATGCATGTTGAATTAAGCAATAAACCCCCAAAATGAAGGTTCGGGTGCAATCAGATTTTTTTCAAGCCTTCTAGTCTAATACTGTCCAAATGTCTGAAGAACAGTTGTCATTCATCTGATTTCCTTTGTTCCAGGAACAGATCAATGGTGAAGCATTACCCATATAACTGTTTTTGGTAAACAGATTGAAAACTATCAGGCTTTCCCACCTTCCCCCTCCTGGTTGCTATTATTTTTGTACTGACACGGCAACCTGATATAAATCTCAGCCTCAGATATAAAAGCAAAAACATCCTCTGCCTCCCTTGTCATATCAAAAGAACACATCTTCCCTCATTCAAAAATTCAAAGCAATTTCTATGACTTTCAGGTATTAGTCACTGCAGGATGGGTACAGAACGCTGCATCACCACCTCAATAGACCTGTAGGAGGGAAGAACACACAAAGATAAATCTGCATCCTCCCAACCAGACTCCCTTAATGCAAGCTTAAACTCTACAATCCTTCCCACTCCTGACATTGCTGCAATTCCAGTCAATGAGATTAGTTGTACTGAGGAAGCAGGGAAGTGACCCAGCTAAGCCTTGGAATTAGAGGATAGGTCTATATGCAGTGGTTTGGGAACAGCTGCCATATGATCTCAGAGAAGCCAGGTAGAGTGATGGGCAGGCTGAGGACTGCTACACGGCTGAGTTAGGCCTGCAATTCAGTGACAAACTGTTGGAGTTCTCAGGGGTTTGAGACTGTCCTCACCAAGGAAACACTGTCATCGTGAGTCAGCTTGACATCATCTCTATGCAGCCTTAAAGTTAGCAACACAACACATCAGCATGCCAGTCAGCTAAGGATGCTTGGTGCTTCAGGATATAGGAACTGATGTAGGCATGTTAGCTTTTCTGAATAGAACACTGTTGGAAATGTAAAGACTGGCTTTCCTAAATCCAACTTTTAAAAGCGCTTCCCCCCAACTACCTGCAGTGGCACAAAAGAGCATCTCACTTCATATGCTGCACAGCCATATTGTCCTGAGAAGAAACGTCACCTCACGTAAGTGATCCTGAACACAGGTCACAGCATTATCAGGAACAAAACCAGCATAATATTTAAGTGGTTCTTATTTGCCTACTCTCATTTGTCCCTCAGCAAAGCAGCTCTACTCTCTTGGCTCTACTTATTCAGGGCCGCTTGAAGATCTTTTCCAGGCAATGGTTCCCTTCCAGCAGCAGCTGCTGCACTCACCTTAAAGTGAGTATTTGGCAGCCAGGAGCTCAAGACTATCAGCAGCAAGCATGTAGTACAGTCATTACAAGACTCTGAAAGACAAGTATCATGGAAGTAAGGTACAGGACTGTCCCAGCAGTACCTCAACTTCTTGGTATTCTTTCCTTCTAGCAGGATCAGCAGAGGTATCGTGTTAACCACCTTGCTATCACTGGCAGTAATGAAACTGAATTGAACCATTAGTACAAATAGAAAATACACTAAACCAAGAACACAGATCTCCCTGTAGCAAAGTAGCTGATCTAATTATTTAGCAGCAATTAACAAAAAGGGAGCTTAATTTCACATCCCCAGACCAGCTGTCATGCTTTTGCAAAAGAATTCTATCTTCAGTAAGTTTCTCTTATTTGTAGGCAGCTCTGTGCCAGACGCATCCCAGGTCACCAATTATCATCTAATCGTGCAAGTCAAAGACTGGGGAATCCGTCTCTAGGATATTGTGCCTTAGCAACAGTGGAAATTGCAATGGTGGAAAACAGCCAGGTAGCTCCAGGTGCCATTTTCCTTCCAGAACTACTGAATGCAAGTTAGCCTCAAATCATTTCCAAGGTAAGTCAAGAAATCCTGATTTTGAAAATCATTCAAGCTCAACAGAGATAAGATTCTCCTGTAATCTTAAATCTACTCTGGATAATTAATTTGGATTAAGAACACAGGCTTTGATTCTACAAACCTGTGATTAATAGGTATATGAATAATCCCATTAAATCTGGCCTTCTCTTGTTGATTTGCAGAAATGCTGCTGTCTGCATAGGTTCATTATGAAGAAGCAGATTTGCTGTGTGCTGCATGTTAGAAAGTAAAATGGAAATACATATGGCCATAAGCCAGGTTTTGTTTCCTGTTTTAGTCCAGGTAATGGATCATAGCTATATGACCTTCAAGTGACAACCGATGAAAATGTTCCTTTTCCATGAAGGTGTTTGAGATCATTTACATTCTTGTATTTTGGACTAATGGGCTTGATTTTTTCTCCCTGAAAGGAGGATCTCCACAGCATGCTTTTAAGTTTTTACCGCTACATTTTCTGAAGTACCTAAAATCAGTGCTGCAGTTTCCCAGCTTCTTATTCCAATTCTAATTGCTCAGCTTGTATTGTTTGAGCAGTAAGAGAACCACAGCACTACTTAATGCACAGTAAAGCCTGCTGTTATCCTATTTATTGGAATGCCAAAGGGAATCCCTCAGGCATCTGAAGATGGGGTAGGAGAAGGTTGCTTAAAATAACAATCTTAATTTAAACATGGATTACAGATTGCCCAGTCCTTTCCTCATAGCAGAGCGAGTGAGGGAACCAAATCACATGACTATCCACATACTTTGGGAATACAGTCATATGGGTTAGGAGGCACAAAATCTAAACAAAGTCACCCAAGAAACACATTAATGCTAGAATAAACACATGGATGTTTAAATTAGAATGAGGTCTCCATAATGGCTTTGCCTTGTTATTTTGAGAAGTGATGAGGCACTGGACACATCCCATTTGTAACAGTCACCTTCCACTTTCTCCTTGTTAGGAACTGTTCTGCACCCATGGAGTCGAAAGGGTTTGTCTTGTAAAAACAACTGACAAGCTGTATATCATGAGGACTGTACAGTCTAAACACAAGTGTTTGTAGCTACATTTCCATGGTTACAGCAAAAAATCAGTTATAATATTCTCAGAGCTTGCTGTCCATTCTTCCTTAGACTATCTGGCATAAGTGTTTATTGCTTTTTGACAGTACAGTATTGCAGAAATATTTTTAGCTCTGGTAATCCAATTTCACATTTAAATCCAACTGAAAATGAGTTAACTTTCAGCCTGCCAAAGGATGTCAGGCAAAGCTTTCACTGATTTGGTTTTGCTTTAGCTTGTGATAGAGAAGTTACACTGTTTAACAAGAAAACGTCCTAAAATCCTAGAATTTAATTATTTCATTTCAATTCCATTTTTACCCTTTTAAATTTGATATAAAATGCTTCTGTTTATGGAATTGTGGAGGCCTGCAATATCTCATCAGTAGTCTGAATAATATAATTATACATTCAAAGGATCTCAAAACAGATGGAGAAAATTACTTATGCAAGGGCTGCAACATTGCAGGAGGCAAGCATAATTTACAATAAATGAGGCAGAGGTCGGTGGTGGCTGCATATTTACGTGTTCTTCCATAAATTCAGTCAAACTCAATAGAAACTGCTTTTCTCTAGAGTCATCAACAATCTGCCTACTGACACAGAATGAGACTGGCAGAACTGAAACTCCAACCCGGCATTTCTTGATTCCCAGACACCTTTTACAGCTAGCATACCATATTTCAACTTTTGTGATAACAAATTAAGAACTCCCTTAGAGCAAAGCATGGCCTTCAACTACAGGTGCTTTAAAAGCAGACACTTATTGCAACTAGATCCAAGAGTGATGTTGTCTTTTCCAATTGCATCCTGAGGCCTGTTGTCTTTCTGAAAAAAAATGTTAAATAGGATTAAATTATTTCAGTAAGAGAAAGTCCTGGCTCTGCCCACCAGAGGAAAAACTTCCATTCACGCTCCAGTAAGGAGATGCATGATAGCATAAAAACTTCATGCTCTCCCCTCAAAGTGCTCGGATAGTTCTCCAAATAAATCATTTCTACAAGGCAGTTCCATTCCTATGCCTACTCGTTCTTAGTATCAATCTTCTGTGGCTGCCAGCAGAGATTTAATAGTATTTCAGTAACCCTTTGTCCTTAAGACTGAACCATTTTATTATTTTTCATATTTTCTTTGAAACAGGGAATCTTTTTATTCACATTGATGTTTCACCCATGATTCCAGGTTGAGCGGCAAAACAGACGGGTCCATTACTCTGTGAAGGGGAGCTCCCTCAAATGCCTTTCTTCAACTGATCCAACCAGAAACATTTATGCAGAAGTGAAGATAGAGAAAGTCAGGCAAAGGTAAGTGTAAATATAATGAACAATCAGTCCAAAGTTACAGTATGGCTTTTTCAGCTAGTATATTTGAGCTAGTATTGTATTTCTGCTAGTGTATTTGAGTACACAGATTTTATTAACATGTTAATAAAGTTTCACATTTGTGGAAAATAGGATTCTTAAAGATAATGCCAGAGAAACAGACTCTTTTGCCTGCTAATCACTTTGTTTCACAACACTAAGATCTATGCCCTTGCATGACACCTTGCCACTTTTAATGGATAGCGTCTTCAGCATTTCCAGGCACTGGAAAAATACTATTGCTTCTTAGGTGGAAGACTTGCACTAGATAAAGCGATATGCCCAAATTCATACAGGCAGCCTGTGACTAACCTTAAGAATTATACCCTGTTCAGTGCCTCATCTGTTAAATCATACCTTGAGGAATAAGCTCCTTATATCAGTAACATAAACGCAGTTCTACTCAGGTCCGAAATACTGTATTGGAATAAGAAAATTTGACTCTCAACAAAAAGTAAACTCTCTATTAAGACTAAACCAGACTTGAATTCTCATATCATTTGAAGCATTTACTGTTTAGATTTTTATATCAGTATTATGTTCCTCTATATACCTCTTCCTGAATTGTTGCCATGGGACCAAATCTCATGATCTTTTACTATGTGATCAGTCCTAAGTTCCCCCCAAATACCAAAGAAATCAATAGTAATTTACCTGAAAACAGTCTGAATGAAAACCCAAGCCTCTGGCCCAGAACAGAAAAGATTATGGGTACAAGATGCTGCACAGGGCCCTCAGTAATAGCAGTGAGTACAGAAGTGAATACAGAAGCAGTTTGGACACACCTACAGCAAGGAAGGCCTAGCAGCAGCACTGATATTGAGTAAAATTGTGCTTTAAATACCCTTTCACGCCCTCATGAAATTGATCCCACAAATCTCCAGCCCATAACAGGCACTATTAAGAAAGAATACTGAGCTGGGTAGACTTACAGCACAGGTTTCTATTGTCTGCACTACTTGCCTTGGATTTTTTAAGATGTCCTTACTATGTTGTGACTGTCCCAGTTTTTGAAGCAGATGGAACAGTTTGCTGATGTTTCAGTGATGTAGGAACATATGGTCCTAGATATTTATAGAAAGAGCCCTGGGACTTCCATATATCAGGAAAGCCTGCAATCTGCCATCTGGGATTCTGAAGTCTACTTTGTCAGTGATACACATTTTACCTTGAGGCTTTAGGTTTCTCTCTGGAATATATAAAGCTAAGAATAGTGCATGCAGTGAAGTCTAGTTTGAAGATCTCTATAAAAATAAGATGCTAATTAAAATACGATCTTTTGAAAGATGATCAATACTTGTCAGGAAAGTTTATAAAGAGAAAGTAATTTTAGCTGTCTTTGTAGTCCAGCTTGTGGAAGAAATTCTCAGATTTCGGATAAAACTGAAGACTTAGTGCATTTTGGAGATATTGCATTTCCAAACTAGACAGGCTGGCAGTTCAAAAGTTTGGAGAATCTACCAGCACAGTCGACACGCAGCATAGAGTAGTAGATGACTTCATTTTTTACTGATCACTCTAGCTGAGTACAGTCAGAAGGGGAAAAGGAGGAAGTTTGACACAGCAGCAGTCCACTGACAGACTTTCCCCTCCTTGTTTTCATCAGTTATGATAAAATACTAAGCATTGTATAATCAATAAAAAAATTGAAAAAAAAAATTAACAAGCTACAAATAGACTGCGCAGTTCACAGAACTTTAACAACCGTAGTCCTATTGAGTCCTACGCAATCCTAAGTTCTTTTTAAGTCTTAAAAAGGAGTTGATTGCTACACCAGCACTGCAAATGATGGTAGAGTTTTTATATGAAGAATATTAATGCTGAATTTTAATATGAGTATAAATGAACACTTACCACATCATTTCTTTTCATTAATTTGAATTGTAGCAGCATGAGATTCATTTTTTCGCCAGGAACAGTGATGGACCACTGTACAGTGACCCACTTACATGGCTGATAACAGTGATAGATGAGAATTACAACTTGCCAGTATTCACCCAGGAGTTTTATCAGGTAGCAGTCAAGGAAAATACAGCTGAACATGAAAACTGTTCTTACGCAACAACCTGGGCTGTAAAATTATGAGTCAACCACAGATGTGAGTAAGGACAATAATTTACTTAGGACTCAACTGTGCAATCCTTACTCCAGTGAGAATTAACATTTTTTGCATCGTACTTGCAGGCATATTTGAAAGATTCACAGATTGTTATCTTGAAGAGGCATGATCATTCTTAAAGTAACAAAACCTTTAAGGAAAAGCTTTGGGTTCAGCAGCGAAAAAGACACTAAAAGATATTAAATATTGGATTAACTGAATTGCAGGTAAATCTGTACCTAAATGCTCAATATTTCTCATTTGTTTCTGCTCTAAAATCTTATTTTTATTTCTGCAAAGATAAACTCATCTATCACATTCTTTATGTAACGTATATTAACTAAAGGTTGTCTCAAGCCATTGAAAATATTTGAATTCTGAACAACTTTTTCCTAAGCAGTGATCAAAGTACATCTTCAAAACAACCTTTTTTTTTTTTAAAAAAAAAAAAACAAAAAAACAAACAAACCTCTGTAGGAAGTGAGATCACAGTAAAAGCATAGGATATTAATGACCCCAAGACTAGTAATTCTGAAGCTATTTTTGGGATTCTGAAGCAGAAACCTCAGGTATCAAATAGTTTTCATTTCACTGGCAAATAACATGGACTGATAACATTGCAGAATTCTGGATTGTAGGCCAGTGCTCTGAAGCATTGCTTCACAATGCAGATCATTTTAAAGACTGCTGTAGAACCTCACTTATCAGACAGATCACTTAAATGCTTATCCTGACTTCCCTTGTCATCAGATCTTGAATGCTAAAAGGAGATTATCTCTTGTCAAATAAGATCACAGACCCCATGGCAGGCAAAACAGTGTCCTGTTAAAGTATTTCTCCTTCTACATCAAGTATTTACTTTGTCAAGAAGCCTTGGAAGCTCTCTTGTGTTTTGTTGCCAGGTCTCAGCAGCTCCTATAATGTTTTCATAAACGTTGTTGATATAAACAACTCTCTAACCTTCTCACAAAGGTGACCTTGACTCTATTGTTACTAAATTCTTGCCCCTGACAACAACACTTTGTTTATGATAATAGATCAGCAGCTCTACAGCATTCCATAGTTGCAGAGCCCGTCAGTAGTATTACACACTAAGTGGTTATCATTGCAACCATACTCTTTTCTTCCATCGTTTTATACATGGGTCTGGGCTTCCTTCATGTAGTTTAATACTCAAAACAGGAAAAACATGGCATCACAAAGGTGCTTATCAGTTATAAATAACAAGTCAATATTTTAATGAGTTGAGACACACCTCTTTTGGCCAGTGCATGGGTAGGTGTCTTACCTGTTTATGATAGGCCTGATTTGTGCACGTGTGATTGAATGCAGATACTCGTATGTGTAGCCTTCAGGCTTTTATTGGAATGTATATTGGCTGACAACACATTTTAGCTGCTGTAATGTGTGAGCCATCTTTGTAGGTATGCACGAACTCTTACCTGCTCCTGCATGAAGCTATGTTTGAACAAGTCAGGAACCTATTTGTATAGTTTGTTCACTGTCACTCAGTCACAGGATGGCTAACCAACCCAAGATGGTAAAAACAAAATGAAAGCTCCCAGCTAATAAAGTTATTCTAAATACCACATGCACAAAGATACATTCACAGACAAATTGTGCCGGAGAGAAAGAACTGCTTTCTTTTTAAAAGATCTGTTTTAATCAGGTCACATTTCTACCCTACCTCCAGGATAAAAACATAGTAATAAAGCAATGGGTGAATTCATAATCAAAGTACCAGATATCAAAAGATTTGCAATAACATAAGCATTGGACATACTAACTTGGTGTGTCTATACACCTGTAGGAACTCTTCAAAATACCAAGTGGCTCCATAAGCTTTTATAGCATGTCAGAGCTATCTTCCATATTTTCCATTTTTCCACATTTGACAAGGTCTTCTTTCCTTACCTCAAAATTATTTTTTGAGGACGTGACTTGTTTAGGATAGCAAAATGCTTTGATGAACTGAGACCTGCTTCAATAAGATGGGCAGCTTCTTCTTGCAAGATTGATATTAGTTTTTTTAAAATACCATGTGAGGGTTTAAGAGTGAGATAAACAGCACAAAACAGAAGTGATTCCAAGAACCCTTGATAACAATCTGGCCCGCTAAGATGTTGTCATTATTATAGAAGGTGGAATGCTTGATCTCAGAGGGGACAGATTAACACACCAGACTTGGAAACTTTACTCTAATAGCTAGCTGTCAAAGGAGTGCTGACATCTTAGAGAATTGCACCCTGGAGTATCAAATAATGTTGAGTTACTCTGCAGGGTAATCACTTCCATATGTAGACAGCTATGAGAAAGGTTAAGGGTAGACATAACTTTGTTCCCACTACACTCAGTGATAAAATTTTCACTAACTTCACTAGGAGCAGAATCAGGCTAATTCTAGTCTGATACTTTGCCATAAAGATTAGCTCATTGTTTTGAGATCTAATTACACTTCCATAAATACTGTGGGGAGAGGTGGATGCATTGCACAGTGGATTTGTTAATCTCAGGTATAGAACATGAGTCCTATGCAGAAATAAGTGTGTTCTCTTCCTCCTCTCCCTGCTCTGCTTTTTCTTCTTCAATTCACATGGTTAGTTTATCCTAACTTGTTATTCTAGGATTACAGAGACATGGATACTGTATGCATTTATGAAGTTCACAGCAGTACAGGGCTTTGGCTACTTAAGCTTTCTAGATGTTACAATAACGCTCCTAAAACAATATTAAATTCACTAATTCTAAACAAAAAACTGGAGAAAAACGTATTAGGTACTGTATATAAACAATATAATAATTACAGTATATTGTACCAATCTCTTCACTGCTACTACAACTGAAAGTAACATTCCAAGATAGAAATGAGAAGCACAGTAAAAGCTACTGATTTTTCTAATCTTTTTTTGAAGTGGAATAGACCACTTTACCTGAATGTGGACAAGGAGGTACCTAACAACTATGACTACCACAGATAAGCTGTGATGTTCAAGTTGATTCACTTTTCTGAAGATGAAATCTTCTGAAATCCAAATGAACCACCGACCAGTACTGTGAATATTTGTCTGCCAAGGTACCACATGATTTTAGCTAGGGAAGAAACCATTGGAAGCTTGTGACCCAATCGGTTAGAAATGTTTTTGATTAAGAGGCTATGACAAACTGAAGTCACTACTTCCATCTAGGCCAGTAGTTACATTTACAGATGAAGGTGGAATCCCCCCAGAAACAGCTGATAAATAAAAACTTCTAAAATACACTATTGGTTGCAAAGCCATCAATTTTTAGTTAGTATCATTCACAGTGGGTCAAGAGTGGAGAAGAAATTGACCACTTTAACTTTCAATTTTAAACCTTCAAATTTAAACCTCTAACTTTAACCTAAATTAAAACCTCCGGGCTAGATAGTAATTTCCGTAAGAAATAATCCAGAGTAACTATTAATTTATCTAATGTAATTCTGGATTTCTCTAAAAACATTACTATTTCTGGTTTGACCTCAGACATGAGGCTAATTCTACTAATAAATAGTAGGATACAGGAAGCTCCAAATACATATTGTAGAAATAAAAATACTATTTCTAACAACAAATGCAAGGAAGACGAATAGGAGCTTCAGCATTATTTTAAATTACATTTGTATTCATTCATCTCTGTTCAGAGTTTGTTCTTGCTATGGTTTCCTCTGTTGTGGTACCATATGACAATGTAAATGGCATTAGTATGAATTGCCTTAATATAATGGAATCTGGCAAACTCAAAATTATATTCCCAGGTATTTACCAGTCTACAGACTAATCTTGTTGAGCACTCTTATCTTTTTATAATGTAAGATCTAATAAGAATTATTTAGAAGCAATCCAGTTCTGAGTCTGACCCATAAATCTGAGTCTTTTCTCCTGAATGTCTAATGTAACCAGGGTTTGTGAAAATGTCTTAATGACAGTTCTGAACCTTGCTTTCATTACTTTACTTTTTCCTGACTGTACGGCAAGCCAGGCTGAGACAAAAACAGTGATGAAAACTCACTTTAGACTTCATGAAAAGTCACTATTATGCCCTCACCTGGAAGGCACTGTATTAGGTATACCTCTTTTGAGCTCACCTTTAATTTAATTTTCTTTTTACCTCTTATTTAGCTCAAAATTACAATGAAGACCCATTCATTTTTAGCTATGAAATTAAAGCCCAAGATTTTTTTTCTACCTGTCCTGCATTTAGAAAATATATACCATATCTAACATCTCATGAAGAACATCTGAGAAACAAATTCTAAGAAGTACTTTTTATATTCTTTTCCCTTTAGTTTTCTATGATTAAGACCTATAAAAACAAAAAATTAAAAAGGGTGGACAGCAGATGACCACAGACAAAAAGCAACTGAAAACTCTGCTCAAATCCTTCCTTATCAATTCTTCTGCAATTCATTTACTCGAGTATTTCCCTCCTCTATCACAGTGCCAGTACCGTAATGGTTATTTGCAACATAACACCTAGGAATCTATTCCTCAGATTGGACATTATATTAGTACTCTGCAAAGGTACAACAGGACAAGAGACCTCTGCTCCGTATAACTTACCCTACTGAAGCAGAATTACTTGCAGGGTAAATCAGATACTAATAGAATAGATTATTACTATACAGATGCATAACAAATTGATAAAGCTCCAGGACAGGCTATTTATTAACAGCATTAACAATATTCCTATCTACTATTCCTTATCTACTGCTGCGTAGTGGCCAACCATTACCACTTCTTCCATGGAGCTGAAACAGTATGAAAATTAAAGAAAACTCATTTCACTGTAAACTAGTTTCCAACTAACTTCATAAAAACAGGCATTTCCTTCTTTTTGTTTGGAAAAGCTTACCACTATGCAATATAAAGCTACAGAGGAGAAAGAGATGCAAACATTTTTTAAAACGTTCAAATTATTTTTTTTCCTTCCTAACATAAAGCTATATGCCTTATGCTCCTGGAAATGAATGTTCAGTTTCTCTTGACTTTAATCAAGCAATTTGGCTGTAATTTAGGTGGCAAGTGACATTACAGGAAAAGTAAACAATAAAGTTATTGCACTTGTAAAAATAACACTAATTGTCTCCCTTAGGAGAAGGATGGGGCTGTCAAGATGTGGTCTTGCACCGCCCTTTGGTTAACCTCTTCCCCGTCCTGGCAGTAAACCTGCTTAGTCAGGCTGCAAAATGAACTATAGAGGATCCATTTTTCTTTAGGTTTAGGAGACAACAATAGAAGTTGTTAAAGCATTGAATTTTGTCCTAGAAGTATGAGTCACTAATAAATAAAGGCAATGAAGAAAAAAGATTATATTTTAGTAATTGCATAATGCAGTACATCCTTATTGGTTTACTTCTGTGTAAACCAGTCTTACCTTTCTACTGACGTCAACAAAAGTGTAAAACCCGAGGGTTTTAGTGTCATCAATAGAATTGCTAATACTCTTAAGCAGACACCTAGGTAAGTGACAATATCCTTTCTGTGAAGTCAGCAAAACACAAGACTTTTAGTCATTGCACGTCACTTACAAGGCCATTTTAGCTCTTGATAAAAGTTATTTGTCAAGAAATTATTTGTTTTTAATGTGAAAAGTTCAAATAGATTTTTTATCCATTTTTTCAGATTACAAAAAATAAGAAGTTTGATATAATCATCTGAAAGATTGCACTGTTTAATAATGGGGGGTTACCTGTATTTCCTGAGGCTTTCCAGGCTTTAATCACTCCATTCAGATGGAATACAGGTGCCATTCCTGGCTGCCTTCTTCACTTAGGGGCTCTCTCCCTTTCACATGATGAACATGTCTGGGAAGCAGGAAGCAGCAGCACTCAGCTCACTGGGTACAAAAGCACCAAGAGAACACAACGGTTGAGAGCACACTAGCAGATTGTATTTTCACACTTTGTAAGTTTACACACATTGAATCTGAAGGGGCTTAACACTGTCAGTGGGAGATGTGTTGCCAGGCTCTGAAAACTTGGAAACAGAAGGACAAGACTAAGCTTAAACAGAAGTAACGCAACTGTAACTGTGACCTAGAAAATGCTGGTTTTGAATTAGGCAGATTCTTGAATGCAGTTTGGCTAGTTAGATCCCAGACTCCAAGGAACAAATCTATATCCCGCTCCCAAAATAAACTAACATGACCCTTCTCTCTGCTTTGGTCTCACACTGTGCTTAACTACTCTGGTTTCAATGAGCTTGGCTCATATTTCTGAAGTGCAGAGTTTGAGAGGCAAATACTTAACTTACTAAAATAAAGAGACAGAACTTATTATAATAAAGAGACAGTTGACTTCATGGTCAATCAGTCACACCTCTGGAAAAATTTTCAGTAGGGAAGATGCATTCAGCTCATCCCCTCCAGAAGTTACAAAAAATCCTGTCTCTCTGGACCAAAGGCAGCAAGTTGGTCCAGGCAAAGCAGGATGGTCCGAGTCCTCCCACTGCCTGTAAGAGGACCCCCAGCAGCACACTGCCTGTTCTTCTGATGTCTCTGTAACCATCACCCTTATCTCACAAGACCAGATAGATAAATCAGTTTAGAAGTCAGAGGCACACAGAAAACACAAGTGCCCATATAACAGCTATTACAGCTACAGCTAAACCAGATAGGAAAGGAAACAATTACTTGTTTTATACACCTTCATAAATTTATTATCCACAGAGACAAAGCCAGAAACGATTATAGGTAATCACAAATATAACTACTCTGGAGAGCCTGCAGATACTAAACAGATAGTAACTCAGCACAGGGTACTGATTTAGTACATGGATGTGTTTATTTGATCTGCATTTGTAGATTAGCCCTTAAAGACTGATGATTACCTTATTGTAATCTCACTTTAAACCCAAGATAAATGCTGACTTTGTTTTAGTGTTTGATAAGCCAGTTACTAATAATTCTACTCTGGCTCTACAAATGTACTGTGGTTTATGTACTGTCTTGACACAAACCAGGCATGTCTGAAAGCAAATTACTGCTTCCAATACAATTGGATATTTAAGTGCCCACCAAAGTGTTGTATTCAGTGACACTGTCCTTGCAATTTCTGATCCAAATCCTCCCTTTGTGGTTAAAGTTTTGTTTAAGGGGGAAAACACCCATGTATTTGATTTCCTGTTTTTCTCCTCTGAAGGATTACATATCTAGGGTGGATGCAGACAAGATGGAGTGAGGGAAGGTGTTTAATTTCAAGAGTTTAGTATTTAAACACAATTAATTATATATATATAAAAAAAAGAATTATCGGAAGCATACACTACATGCAGAAACAAAGAACAAGTAACCCAGGAAAAAAAAAAAAAAAAAAGCAGACTGCAGTCTTAGTTCTACTCTGCAACTGCACTCTGCTTCAGTTTTCCCCTCCTGAAAATTGAGGACACCTATTTACTAAACTCACCTAGTAACTCAGGTTCTTTTTCTCTGGAAAGAGTGAAACATACAAATCCCAATGCTTTGACTTCTTGGAGGTATTTCACTGTGGTGAAAATGTATCTTCCTTTTAAAGGTTTTGTTGTATCTTCATTATATAGAGGCCACGTACCAAAACCTTTCCAGCCTCAAATTACTATTTAAAGAATAAATTACATTCTTAGCAGGAGAAAACTATGCTTACACTACACAGAATGCACTGAGAACTGCACCCTGGCCAAATAGGGGAAAAAGGAGATCTCTACCCATGGTGAAGTCTTGCACATGTATCGCTGTGCTAGGCTTGCTGGCCCACAATGGACATCTTAAACTGCACTGCTAAAAATGTAACAGGAGAGGCTTACAAAATAGTCTAGTGTATCTGACAGCTAAAGTACAAGAAACAATACTGATTCTTGTTACAAGTAACACTACAGGACACAGGAAGACTTAGAAGAAAAGCAAACATCAGGAAGCAAAAGAAAAGGCACTAAGAAATAGGCTGTTATCCAAATGGATTTAAGGCAGGATTTGGCCAAGGAAACAGAAATATCAATAGATCTTAGTTAGATCTATATCTGAGAAATTTAATGATAGAACATGAAATTCAATCAAAGGAAAATGGTTAGTTCTGGGTATAGCCTAAGTCAAAAAGTTATGTAGATCCTCAAGTTCTTCTCTTAGAAAATCACATGAGAAAGCTGACAACTGACATCACTTTTGACACAGGTTTATTGGCAACCACATCTTAAAACTGAAGTGGGTGCTGAGTGAAATTTGTTAGCTTTACATGAGTTGTTCATAAACATTCCTAGTCAAAACTATATCTGTATTCCATAAACTCTATGAAAGTTAAAGCACTGTAACAACAGATTAAAAATAAAAATACAATCTGATACAGCCAGTTCCAGAGCAAGAAGTGGGAAAAAAAGTGGGGTATGGAGGGGGAGCAGCACAGAATTTCCCCTAGGCTGGCCTCTGCTTCTGTGGGATCTATTCTGATGTAAAAAATTTCCAGGATCGTCATTTATGTTTTTTTTCTTAGTGTAACTAAAATAAGTGCATCCTGCTCAGCTACTGTTTAAGAAACCCTGAGCTGAAATAGATTTCTCTGGCCTTCATTCCATCTTCTCCTATATTTGGGACAAATTAACACCCTTTGAGCAACTTTTTGTAGCTGGTATCGCTCATGCATTACTTATTCTTAATTATATCCACATTTACATGTTTCACTGTCCAAATAAATATAATATAGCCAAGATCTATAAAAAGTGCTTATCAAGAGAATTTTATTCAAAAGGATATGTAGATTGTTTCCTTAGTGATGATGAAGAGGTTGTCAAATCCACACATGAGAAAGGCCTGTAAATAGCAGTAACTTCATGCTATCACTTCAGGGGAGATTACAAGAAAAGGTGTAGATACTTTGACAATGCTCAAGTCAACTGTGGTCAGCCTTAAAAACCTCCATTCTGACAGCATAGCAGATGGGTGTTTCTTTCTATTCAGGGCCTACAATGGACATAATATTTAAGGAACATCCAGGGTGAGAACAAAAATGCTGCTCAGGTTGTAAATGCATGAGTCTGGAATTTTGTTTGAAATGGAGGCAATAAATATAGATGCTTTGGCACCTTGCCAGCAACCACACATGCATTAATGAGCTAGTGCATGATTTCTTTCAAAACAGTCTACAATTCCAATTGCTATTGGCCTTGGCCATGTGTAACCAAACATTAACACAAGAACATAGATTAAATGTAATCCTATTAAAAGGACATAACCACTGCTTAATAGGATGGAATACAGGAGGAATACCATGTAAGGGAGCCTCGATTTTTATTTTCTGACAGTGCTCACATTACATCTTTTCCTGTATGTTTTAGCAGGTCTGCAACCTACTGTGGTAACTTCTGGAAGGTCCACAAGAGCCTCTGTGTCTTATAACAAGGTTTGTTAGCACTGACATCTTTTCCCGTACTGGTTACTACAGCTCTTTACTTCAGCTTCTAATTTGACTTCCTACTGCCTAAGGCACTGATTTACTCTTTTCTACCATTTCAGACATCCTGGACACCTAAGTTTCTGATAAGAGGTGGCATTCCTCCCACACAGCAGAGCTATCTCCTATGATGAAGCTGTTGTAGCCCTTTAGTCAGTCCGTAGAAGAAAAAAACATCCAAAAAGTAAAGTGTTACTGCAATTCAATCATTGGCAGATAAAAGATTTCAAGCATGCATCCAGCTTTCAGCATCATAATACACACAGTGCAGGTTAACTAAATCAAAAGCTAGGATATTTTCGAATATCAAATAGTGGCCAAAAACATTATTCTGCCCCCACAGTACCAAGTCCTCTTCCAATGCTCCCTAGCACCTGTTCCGTTACATTTGTGCTCCAAAGTACAGAGGCATCAGAGTACTTCAAAGACGTTGCAGTTACCTTTTGCTTAAGCAAACCAATCATTGTCTATGTTCGTACCTGAAAATGACTATAAAAACAATAAATTAGCTACACAGATAGAATATTTTCTTAAGACTAAGGCAAAATTATAAGCAGCTGAAAAACACATCTCACAAATGGAAAACATCAGAGAGCCCTAACAGCCAGATCCCTTTCTATGGCTTTTTCACTACTTTTTTAGCATGTCAGCCTCAGCTGATTCATGGGCCTTCATTCCTGCCAATAAAACCATTGCATTTCACTGAGAAGAAAGCCAGCTTGAGTCATTTTTCAACTACACTCAATGTATGCTTCTACTCCACTATTAGTGCTGTCTTTAAAGCAGCCCAGTATGACTCACAGCCTTTTCTCCACCTGCTCATTTTCTTAAAGAGGAACTGAAGTTTGCTTTGCCCCCTGTGCACTTGTAAATGACAGTAGAGATGCAAAGCTGAGTGCCATATCCTTTATTTTTCAATGAAAATATTAAATGCATTTCAGAAGCCAGCTGATGGCACGATTTGCTACTGATGAGCACTATGGACACCTGGAGTCTCAGAGGGCCAAGACAAGGCAGTCACTCTGTGCAAGTCACTGCTCAAGATCACGGTAAGAACAGAATGCAGGTTTGTAACAGATCATAGCATCTTCCCGTCCTCCCTTCCTCCCTTCTTAGAGTCAGCAGAGCAGATAGCACACCAAATTCTAAGGTAACACATGGATATAAATTGCACACTGGAAAATGAGTATGTGCAAGATTAAATGATGGGCAGACAGGCAGAAAACATACTTGCTCTGTCCTCTGTCTGTACTAGGTAATCTTTGGCTCCACGCTTGTCCTTGTACACTATTTAAAAGAGCATGTGTAAATCATACTGTTCTGGCAGATTTGATGACAACATGAAGGTAGAGATATCTAACTTGAAATTCTTATATTTAGACTGGTCAAAACTGGTAGTTCCCTCTTGCCTAACACAAAA